TAGGAGCAAAGGGCATCGCTGCTAGGAACAAGGACGCTACTAGGAGCTCCTGGCCGTACTGACAAGCCTTGATTCCACCGTTTGGTTGTCAAATTCATCCGGTACCTGGGCCCACTCGGCGGTCCTAAGGGTTCACCTCCATGGCAGGTCAACCAAGCTGTGTTCCCTTTGTGGCTTTGCAGCTTAAGACCGAAAGACCCAAGCCACATTCACAACCCCCGCAGCATCAAAGTGTGACTTGTGCAATGCTACAGTGATAGTGACAAAACCAAAAATACATCATTGAAAGCCAACCAATGCAATCCCCCAACATCTTTTGCTCGAGAGTTCCCAACCAATTCAAGACGAAAACTTGATGGTGCTGCAACCCTGGATGTCGTTTGTTTTGCGGGGCTGTCTTTGAGGTTCACTCAGGCTGAACATCAAGGTTGACTGCCCATTTGGAACTGCAGGGTTGTGTTTGCCGTAACCATTGCAAGTCCACTGACAGTTGAACATCACTTCTCATACCAACTAGTTTCCGTTCTCACCTCGAAAGTGGAGGGAGCATGCCTCTTTAATCCTGTTTCGAGTGCACCAATCTGGCAATGGTTGGTCTTCCACACCTAGACCTTGCAAGGACTGGTCCCCAATGTGCAAATGCATCACCCTGAGCTTTGGAGACCTAGAGTTCTTGCAACAACTTGCAACTATGCAGAGCTTGTTTTAGTTCTGTGTCTTTTTCTGTGATACCACTCTGCTTTTTGTAGAGTCCTTCCTTTCTCCTGAAGCCAGCCCGACACCCGACAGCCCAGCCGCTGGGTGAGGACTGTCTCTCGCGGGAGGCACCCAACGAGCTTCTGGGTCGGCTGAAAACCGGTGGGAAAAAGGTTAGATTCGCAGTGAAGGGGAGAAAACAAAAAAAGATTCAATTATTCTGAGTTGGGTGCGACTCAGGAATTCTGGCATTGCGAAAGAACCTCCTTGTGTTTGATTGCAAGGCAAATTCGGTGGCGACATGTTGTTGTGGATTTGTTTTTGGGTCTCTGCGGCGAAACAGCAACCCAAGCCCCCGGCAAGGGGATGAGCGACTGAGCACCACAGACATATAACGATGCGGGTCAGACCAAAACAGCCAAAACCGGAGTAGATGAACCACCCCTCCCAGACTATTGACTTCATTCATGCTTGCACGTTCTTCTGTGGAGGCAACATGTCGGTAAAGTGGTTGGAAATCTAGTGGTGGAGTGGTAGAGTATGGTAGGGTCTTGTTTCTCAGAAGGGCGTCTTTGCTAGGCTCCCTATTCAAGCAAACACCCCTCGGTTTTTACCCAGGTACTGTAGCTTGGGAAGCAAGCGTGTGTCAACGAAGGTGAAGGTGGCAAGCAAATTAGGGAAGACCATAATATCTCCTTTTGTAGCCATTGGTCTAACCATCACACAAATGCCACATGATCTCTAATTAAGATCCAAGTTCTCACTGAATCGCAGTCCGCAGTGGCGACATTCGCTTGCGACCGACACAAATCAACACATTGATATCTTGACGTGACTTCGCTTGCGCATCTTTGGTTCAATCAGGTCAACAAGTATATAATTTAAGTAGAATAAGAATGTGACTCAGCTGGACGTCTTGGACCTTAGGTCGGTCACCCAACGAACATCCTCCTTCGCACGTTCGACGGCTGGGTCATGCTGGGTCCCCCACGAGCTAACCCTCCTGACCAGGCAGAGAAAAGGAGGGCATCCAGAACCAAGACGGGAAGAGATGTTTCCTGTACTTTACATGGACCACTCAAGAAATCAAGACCAAAGCTGTGGGAAAGATAGTCTGACTTGGATCCCTTTGCCTCTACAGCTTCTTTAGCAGGAGACCATTTTGCTCGGGGGAACGCGCAGGGCTTCCCCAGGAACAGCCTGAGACTTTTCTTTGGCCAAGGCTGAGACCCCAAGGCCATGTTGATAGCTACTAGTAGCAAAGGGCATCGCTACTAGGAACAAGGACGCTACTAGTAGCTACTACAGTAGTAACAAGAACGCTACAGTTGTTTGGGAAAAGAAGAAGGTGTCTTCTTACAATCAAATCCAGTGGAAAACAAATTCTGTTGGAGGCCTCTTGCAGGACCCGTCCGAATCTGTTCGGACCCTGGAATTCAACGACGTCTCTGCGCCTGAAACCATTGCGCCCTCGGTGCCCTTGGTTGGGCGATGCCTGGAGTCAGGGTCAGAACTGTCTCAATCTTAAGGTTTAACACTTCAGGAGAGAGCATGTATCCAAATCCCCCTTCCATCTTAAACAAATGTTTCTCAAGAAATCAAGCACCCATCCTCCAAGACCGAGGTGATCCCCACCTGCGGAGGCACCATACGCTGCACCGTCGCCCGTCGTGGCACTGTGGACGCCGCCACGCTCGACAGGGCAGGCCCACTGGCTGTGGCTGTGGCTGTTGCAGCGGCGGTGCCCGTGGCAGGCGCCCGGCGCGCACCGGTGGCGGTGAAGGTGACCAAAGGCCGACCCTCAGCCGGCAAGGAGTTCACACAACAAACATGTTCCGAAACCGTGAAGGCCATGTTGCCTGCCGCTCACACATTCCATGTGGCTCTTTTTGTTCGCAGGTTCCATGATACTGAAGTCGTTTTCTTGTCATCTTGCACCAACATCACATCATTTTGTCAACATCATCTTATGACATCACAGTTTTTGGATGGTTATTCCTTCATACATCAAGTTGCTTTACATGGAGGTAGAAGCAGGGTGGGGTGGTGTTTTGGGGATTGCTGTAAATGTTCGTTGGGATTGCCACGGACTATGTCTTCTGACTCTGGGGTTCAATCTGCAGGATGTGTGGAGCCGAGCTAGCAACAATATTGGAAATCATATTGATTTTTGCAGATCTTCCTGCACTGGAACTGCTACAGTCTTGTTGCAAGAAGCAACATGATGGTTTGTGGTTGATTGATGAAGGAGAAATAACAAAGAGAATGGCTTGATAATTTGCTTACCATCGAAAATAGCTTTCCGGCACAAAGCAAAACTAAATGATCTTCCCCAAGACCTTCGTTTCAGTGTTGCAAAAAACCTCTTCCAACCTACACAAACCTAACCAGGCAACCCATCCTTCTATATACAATATTGGATAGTACTGCGTGACTGAGAGACAGAAAGATAGAGAGAGAGGGAGGGGGGGAGGGAGGGAGGGAGGGAGAGAGAGAGAGAATATATATATATATATACATATGTTTTAATAAATCGAAGCTCCATCTTTCTCAAAATCAAGCAACACACACCAACAAATCACGCACATCTTTGTTCTGACTGGGCCACCCTACTGAAGTCATTGGCCGACGCGCCTCAGCTGTTTTTGTACAATTGGGTACTATTGGGCGGTAGACCGAGGAACTCAGCAAAATCTCAGTCCGATCATGGCTGGTCCATTTGGCTCAGCACTCTCATCCTCTAAGTTCTGAAGCAACCCTGAGGCTCAGGCTTCAGGCAGGGATGCAGTGGAGCCATCCGGATGGATTCGAAGATCCTCCGGCAATTCTGAAAGAGATTGCCTTTCACTCCTAACACAGGTGAGATAGGTCATGGCCTATATATATATATACATCTGAACTGCAGGGAATTCCCTCTCTGTCAAGGGCAAATGTATCACCCATGCAGGTCGGCACGCCTCAATGACTCCCCCCGAGCGGAAAGTGATGGGCAAAGTGACAACACTAGTAACAATGTTCGCTACTAGGAGCAAAGGGCATCGCTACTAGGAACAAGGACGCTACTAGGGGCTCCTGGCCTTACTACTAGGAGCAATGTTCGCTACTAGGAACACAAAGGGAATAGATATGAGACTTACTGCTGACATTCATCTATACAGTGTCGTTTCGGTCGCAAGGATGCACGGATGGATGGATGCTTGTAGGCACTTCAATATGTCCAGCGATTCTTTCACAGCCAAGATGAACGTGGACCCTAACCGGACCCAGGTGGTTTTGGACACCCGGTCAAACCACTGTGACTGTTCAATTCTTCAACTATGCCATCTGTCAATGCTTTGGATGCCTCTTTCAACAGCCAAGGCGCTGCAGCTAAACAGAAGGAACACAAGAAGGTGGTTGGGCCCCTTTATATAATCAGGTCCCTTTAAAAGGACGGACCCTTGTTCAAGTGACCAAAACACTTTCTTGTCGTCTTCTCGCTTCTCATTTTTACTATGTACAAAATGGAAAGTCTGGGAGAGCACTTCGCAGAGGCCCACCAATTCTTGAAACAGGTGAAATCCGCATGAGTCAACCACAGGCAGAGGCCTGTGTATGGCTGAAGACCTTGGTGTATAACTGTGTATAGCAATTCTACCATTTTCACCCTGCCAACCATCCAAAAGCACTGTCCCCCCAAAAGTGCAAAGGACGTCCTTTGCGCTAGCAGGTGCAGATGGAGGTGCTGAGCAAACGACACGGCGATCGTTGTACGGCGACCACGGCGACATCTACGATCAAAACCTCGACGAGCGATCAACACATGGCCTCCAACCTAATACTGTAGCAAATGGCCTCCAACATGTCAGAAAATGTGTACCCAGTTTCATTTCATGAAGGTCTCGTTGGTTCACCATGCTTTAAACCATCCCCAGATTCACACGTCTGGAAACTTGCGCGTCTGGATGCAGTTCCAGCGCAGAAAGTCGAACCTTTTCTTCAAGGGATTGTACTCAATGGTCAGAGGTTCATTGCACAATCCGAACCTCTTAGGAGCAAGAAGCTACTAGTAACAAGCGCATCGCTTCTAGTAACAAGTGCCTTACTAGTAGTAACAAGGACGCAACGGAGCAATGATGCCCAAGTTCTGAGATGCAACTTGGGAGGGGTCGAAGGGGTCAAAGGTAGGTTCCCCTGAAAGCTGGAAGAGGCGTGTATCTACAGGGTATGTGTTTGGAAATGGACCCGTACGCCGATACTGTGCCAGTTGAGGCACCCAAAGTTGAGTGACTCAGACGTCACTTCAACCTCGCACATGTTCCAAGTCAATCCGAAGATTCTTCAAATGAGAATCCTGAGTCTTCTCGAATCCTGGGTTGCAGGCGGACACACCAATCGGGCAATTGAAGCTTTCCACAGCCAGCAAAGGCGCCTACTCCCAAGTAAGCCACAGAGTCAGAGATGCTCAAGCTGGTTAAAGAGCTGCAACCTTCGAAGGCAGACTCCTCAATCGACTTCACGGAGTCAGGAATTGTCAAGCTCCTTAACGAGCTGCACCCAGCAAAACACAATTTCCTTATGATAGTGACGGACTTGGGGATGGTCAGGCATTCCAAAGATCTACAACCCTTCAGAGCACCATCTCCGATCTCAGTCACCGAGTCAGGGATTTTGAGATTTACCAAACAGTGGCAGTCCGCAAGGGCACTTTTCCCGATGTCAGTCACCGATTCTGGGATTACCAGGCTTTCCAGTGCGATGCAGCCGGCGAAGGCACAGTCCACAAGATAATCAATTGATTTAGTCATCTCTACGCTTCTCAAACACAGGCAATCTTCGAATGCACCATTGCCAATGTAGCTCACCGAGTCAGGGATGATCAAGCTCTTCAAAGAGTTGCATTCTTTGAAAGCACAAACTCCGACGCATGTCACTGACTCTGGAATCGTGACACTGGTCAAAGAGCTGCAGCCCTTGAAGGCGCAACCACCAATGACTCCCACTGACTCGGCAATTTTGAGCGTTGCAAGGGATTTGCAACCAATGAAGGCACAGCTCCCGATATTGCGTATAGAGTTTGGGATGGCCAAGCTTGTCAAGCTCGCGCAATACGCAAAGGCACATTGCTCCAGGTCAGTAAGTGATTCGGAGATGCTCAAGCTCGACAAAGAGCTACAATCCCGGAAAGCTGATTGCCCGATGATGGTCACTGAGTCAGGGAGTGTCAAGCTGTGCAAGGAGCAGCAGCCTTGGAAAGCTTTTTCCCCAATACTTGTGACAGAGTTGGGGATGGTACAGCATGTCAAAGAGCTGCAACTTCTGAAGGCGCAGTGCCCAATGAAAGTCACAGAGCTTGGGATAGTCACACTGACCAAAGATTTGCAAGACGAAAAGGCATATTGTTGTATCTCGGTCGTAGAGTCTGGGATCTCAACAACCAGCAAGTCTCTGACATCGCAGCCTGATGCTGCTGACTTGTCTTTGCTGTCACACACCACCTGCGTTTGAGCTGAACACACCTTGGACAAAAAGGTCCTAGATATCCTGTGCTCCTGAAGCTGTTCTTGCGGGGCAACCCAAACCTAGAAAGTAGATGGCCCTTGACAAATGGTGTTGGTATAGTTTTTGTAATCTATCACTCTAGTCAGGTTGTGCCATTCCCTGGCAAAAAAAGGAAAGTTCGGCCAGGCAGCTGGGTTGATGGAGAAAAGGACCTGCACCACTGCATCGGGTGAAATCCCAGCCGCCTCAACAGTCTCATCATTATCTACCAACTGCCGACCACCCACCAATACCTCCGCCTTGGTCATACGATGTGTGAGCTCATCTGTACTTGGCTGCCATCCTTTCAGCTGTTGCTTGAACTCGCGGACACTCATCTCGGGCATCACTTCCAGCAGTGGCACTTTCCCACCTGCAAACGGATGGCTTTGGAGGTGATTTCGGGAGGGTAAAGGGTTCAGGAGCCTAACACTCAAAGTAAGGCATCCCTGGTTCCCTACTCTGGTGGAAGGATGTGTTGTCTCTTCTAGATTCGACCATGGTCCTGGTTAGACCGAGCAAAAACGATGAGCGACGCCAAGTCGCTGAAGAGCCGCACAGGGATTCTCATGGGTGGCCACCTATGAACAGCGCTTTTGGAACCTTTGCCTTCAAAACAGTGCCCACAACTGAGAGGGCGCCTTGCCTGCGTTTGTGGGGGTGTGGACAATCACTGCAAGAAATTTGGTGTTACGAGTTGATCGAGGTTTCCCGATTGTTTCCAATTCAAAGTGCCATCCCAAGCTGGTCATCCGAGCCAGAGCGAGGTGCGGGGCTGAAGATCCAAGGGATTCTAAGTCATTGATCCGCTATTTTTCAACTGTTCGCGCCGGAGGAGTTTTCTCAGAACAAAGAAACGGTTGAATTACCTTCTGGGTTGTTGCGTCGTGTCCTTTTCGTGCCAAAGAAAGTTGTCACACACCACGTGCAAAGGAAAGCATGGCAGTGGAAAGCCACGCGTGTTTCGGAAGAAAGTTGTTCTTCAGAGATCCATCCAGTTCCGTCAATTTCTGTCGGGTGTGATCCCCAAAACCACCTCCAGTAGCTGCTCAACTGCTCCTTTGGAACTGTGGAAAGAATTCCTCACTCTTCCCATTTCTGAGCACTTGGCCAGAGTCCTGGCTCGTCCCCCGCCGGCGGTTCGACACACTGCTCCTCCCAGGCATCAGGGATCACGGGCGCCCTGAAACCAGACTAAATGCAAGTGAAAAAGTTGTTCACCAAAGTACAGAGGAAGGTGTCGATCCTTCAGATGTATTCTCAACATGCGAGGCCCCTGTTACAACTTGACTTCTGTAACGGGGAAACTGTCATTTTTCACCTCATCGAGAGACATAGCCTCCCCATTTCCATCATTTTGGTGCTAACTCCTTGGAGACTCTCCGGACATCAATCACAAAAAAACATCATCCAGTCTCCCGACAGCTCGCAGTGGAAGTCGGGCGTTTTGAGCAGACCTCCGCACGAATCACGCAAGCTAAAGGCAAAAGTTGATCATATGCTGCTGGTGTTCACTAACAACGTACTTCAAACGAAGAACAGCCCTGAGCAGGAAAAAACACATTGTTCAGACAGCGGTTGCTCCTAGAGGAAACCCAGCAACCAACAGAACACCAATTTGCATGGCATGAGGAGTATCAAAGTCCTTTGTGTAATTGTAAAAAAAGTTAGTGAACCCAATATCCCGCTGGATGAAAAAACAACGCGCGCGGTGGCATCCAAAGTCATCATGTGTTCATTGACGAAAGTGACATGATTTTTCATGGGTGTCCACATGTTGAGTGCGTCGGACAGGGGGCCGGTAAATCTGTGGTCCCAGTTGACACAGTTGAACAGGGTGTCCCAGTTGACCCAGTTGAACCCAGTTGAACCCAGTTGACATTCTGCGAGGACCATCGGCTCGGATGGAGGCAGTGTCTGAACTAGGTCAACAGGGGCCATTGGTTTGCAGGCAGTGCTTCAATTGGGTCCACTGGGACCACTGGTTCGGGTGGAGCCAGTGTGCCAAGTGCATCAAGTGGGTCAACTGCGACCACTGGCTCGGATGCAGGCAATGTTTCAATTGGTTTGAGGGGGACCCATGGTCTGGGTGGAGGCAATGTGTTCAATTGGATCAACTGCTCCAGTCAGCTCTCGACCCGTTAAGGGCCCAACCAATCTCAACACGGGACGTCTGGTGTTGAGCTTGGTTTTTGCATCGTTTGTCGGAGCGGAGTATCAATATGGTTAGCAAACAACTTCCCTGCGTCCTTCGACAAGAAAAACACTTTACCCGGTCTGCCCGTCTCTAACGTCATCGACGGTTGTGGCTATGGGTCACCTGTTTAGATCTCGAGAGTTCTCAACTTGTCAGAGGAAAGGTTCCATCCAAGTTCAACACGGGACCCCTGGTGTTGAGCTTGCTTTTTACCGTTCAGACTGCTCTGTTTTACACCTACGATGTTGCCGGCTCACGGGT